AGGTGCCGTTGAACATTATCCCAGGATCCTTTTTTCACTCCCCAGTCATTACAGGCGACAGTAGCCGTTCACCTACGAGAAGCAAGCCAACCAGGGTAAACGCTCGTTTGGGTGTGAGACATCCACGTTGCGGCGATGTACAGAATTTAGCAGTATAGTTCCCGAGTTAACTGCTTGATTTACTGCAGCGTTCCAGCGTTTAGACATATTTGCGATACTCTGGAAGGTAGGTTCCTTCCCGTATATGAGATGCACAAGTACGCCACTACATAGGATGTACCGCTTTTGCAGTTCAAACTTGCGCGATAAGGATGCTGGAGGCCTGTAACGTGTCGAGGCTCCGCCCCATAGACCGAGGCTCCGCCCATTTGGTTGGCTGGCACAGAGCTATCAGTTCCGGGGAGCTCGTCCCAAAACTAGTTAACTTGTTCAACCCAAAAGGAGTCCTTTTAGGGCATTCTCGGCTGGTTCTTTTACCTCCTCCTCCATTGTTACGCATCTATCACCTACAGATCTGCATATTGACCGTCTTGTTATGAAATGTGTCGTTAGATCAACTGAGTTCTAATGCGAATGTCTACGCGGCCCTATTTGTAGCGGTTCTTTCACCGCGATCGCCGCAACGCCGATGTAGTGTCCTATCAAACTTTATTCATAACTGCTTCCAGAACGAGTGCGTTGTTTTACAGCAAAAACGAAAAAGGAAAAGAAAAAGGAGGAGAAGCCCATCACTTCTAGAGGAATTCGCTCTGGATTTCGACTTCGACGATCCACGTGTAAATGAAGAAGAACTGGATGTGGAAATGCCAAACAACAGTAGTGGATCGCCCAGCCCAAAATCACCTGTACTTGCCACAGCTCTGCAAACCAGTGATGCCAAGAATGCAAGGAATTATATATTTCCTCGAAAAATACCAACACCTGCTCCGCTACTGAGAAGAGCAGATAAAAACACTCCTCCACGATCTGCAAAATCACCACCGTATCCGCGATCTCCGAATCCTTCAAAGTCGGCACGTTCACCACAACTTCAGAACTCTCCGATGACTCCTCCAAAAGTCCCGCGGTCGAAATAGTGGAAAATTCGTACTCATTCATCGCAATTAGTCATTCATGTTCACTGCTATCAATATTTTATCACACAAAAACAAAATAGCTCTCGTCCAAGCGAATTAAGAGGCAGGATCGTTGACACAGAGCCGTGCCACTCATCATGCGCAATGACATGTCACCTTTGACACGAACAATGACACTCCATGGCACACCACCGACATTAATTGACGCGGAAGCACAGCCCGTCCCAAGCACGCCCCGCCCATTTCGGGTGTGTCTTCAGTTCTTACTTCAAACGCGCTGCATCATTATTCTTTTTCTCCGTCTTGGGCGGCTCCGAGCGAATTCTGAATTTTTTCAATGACATGACGGTAAGCTTGGTTTACACCTTGGGTTTACACTCTGCCCGCTCTGAGCGTGAGTTAGTATAGTTCAGCTGTAAACTTGGTATCTTGTTCCATACCTACCCACCCCACCCTCGACCCGACCTGTACAGATTCCCCCTATTTTCCTACACTTCAAAACATTAACGACCGTCACCAATCGATACCCATTTATGGCTCGGCTCGCATCAATAGCACTGTAGCGTTGTTGCATGGCAGCGCGTCGTAATGCGACAACGCCCGTCATCGTGAAGTCTGAACGCAGCTCAGAACAGGAAAGACAATGAGTGCCATGAATGAAAGCGATGGAAGAAGCTAAAACCAACGACATAATTACTGGGCACCCTGAATAGTTCCCCAAACCATTCTGGACTACCTGTACTAGCCGCAGCTCCCAGCTCCACATGAAATACATGCTCCAAAAAGAAAAAGAAATGTCAAGTACAACCGTCATTCCTTCATTGACAGTCGTGTGCATTATACGAATTTCAGACGACACATACTGCACAATATAATAACAATTTATGTCAACAAAAAACAATTTAGAAGATCGGATCGGGGAACTCGAACGCGACTTCTTTGCCTGTCAGCTTCCTGTATACGGACACAAACGTATCGACCTTGTGTTCTACATTCGTCTGCTGGGCCTTATCGAGGTGAACCTGAATGGAACGCAGTATAATCTCTGCAAAAAAAAATCGAAATTTCAATGAGAATCTCGATAACTTCCCATGAGAATAACCTTAAAACAAAACAAAAACGGGAGAGCAGGTAAGCTATTCTGCCGCAAACTGGTTCTCCGTGTCATCTTTACTTGGTCTAACCTTCCAACCGTTTCTCTTTTCCAGAGTCCTTAAAATGGCCCGCAAACCCTCAATTTGAGGTTTATGCCACCAAACTCCTTTCGCGTCTCCCATGCCAGGTCGAGATCACTCCCTATACTAACACCGCGCAGAAATGGCGCTGCCGGTTTGGAGGGCACTTCGCACTTACGCAAGTTCCCATTTTGGTCCAACCTAAACCCTGTGAATGTTCGAGCGAGCCATTTT